ATAATGATGATGATGCTGATGCGGATAATGATCATGATGACGACGACGATGACGATGATGATGATGATGATGCTGATGCTGCTGATGATGATGACTCTGCTGCTGTTGATGCTGATGTTGATGACGATGTTAATGCTAATGATGCTCATGATGATGATGATGATGATGAGGAGGAGGAGGAGGAGGAGTCGGCGACGAGACGATGATGATGATGATGATGATGATGATGCTGATGCTGATGCTGATGCTGATGCTGATGCTGATGATGATGATGATGATGATGATGATGATGATGATGATGGTATGGAGGAAGGGGGTTTTGAAGAGGATGAGTCTCAGAAGGATAACCCGTTTGAGGCGGACGGGGAGCGTGTTTCCGAAGAAGATTCTATAGGTTTACGCCACATCCGCCGACCCCTATGTAAACTATTGCGCCTCCAGGACTGAATTTCACGAGGCTTGTACGAATCATGACACGGCGCTCGACATCGTTCTTGTTGTTTCATTGCTGTTATCGTACCTCTTGGTGCTCTTTTGTGGCCTTTTGGTGGCATCTTGGCCTGTTTGCAGGCCATATCCGGCCGCCTCGAGGCATCTTGGGCTAAGTTTTAGGGCCTCTTGGGGGCTTCCTGGGGGCTTCTTGGAGGCATTTGAGGTTCTCTTGGGGGTCCCTCAGGGCCTCTTGGGCTGTTCTTGGGGCAGGCTGGGGGCGTCTTGGGGCCGAAGGCTCGAAACGGTGCCATCTGGACTCCATCTTGGAGCCGTCTGGGGGCCCTCTTGGGCTGTCTTGGGGGCTTCGTGGGCTGTTGTTGGACCCTCTTCGACCCTTCTTGGGGGCGCCTCTGGCCGTCTGGGGGCGATATTGAAGGTTTCTTTGCCCGTCTGGGACATTGTGCAAACCGAATAGGCGAGCATGCGAAAAATGCTTGTTTTTTCGAAGGGAATGGGACGATTTTTCTTTCTTGGGACCCTTTTGAGGCGCATCTTGGTGGCGTCCTGGCAGGTTCGGAGGTCGCCTGGAGGCCATCGTGGGCGTCCAGGGCCGATCTTTCGGCGAATCGTGGCCCCCTGGGACCGTCTGGGGAGCGTTTTGGTGCTTCTTTGGGTAGTCTTGGAGCCCTCCGCTCCCCCGTTGCGCGTTCGGTCCAGGGTCGGGCTCGGCCCGGGGGGGGGGTCAAATTGCCGGTGTGGGGTCCCTGGGGGGGGATTATGGGGGTGGGGGGATAGTCTCACACGACTAGAGACCCACAAGGGGTCGGCGGACTTTGGGGGACGGAGATGGGGGCAACGTGCTTAGGAGGAGGCGCAGGAGGAAGGGGGGATTACGAGGTAAGGGGATGATCACGACGGCGAAGATGGTACGTTGTGATGGCGACTTCGATGTTGATGGTGACCAGGAGGTGACAGATCATCGTGCGTATGTATGTGCTGGGATGAGCAGTGATGCGCTGCCTCGTCTTACATGTACTTTCTTCGATACCGCACAGGAGCTTGTGGTGCCTTCCGGTGTTCAATACTCTAGACGCTCCTGCATCTGCAACTTTCGGTGCATCGCGTCTAGGGCATTTCCCATTAGTGGCAGTCTGCCGTGAAGTGGATGTAATCTAGTCTCTCTGCGACTCATATCAATGATTTGCTATGCCCCAACCTTTGCAGGCGGTCCTGTGGCGCCATGCGCCGAACGTGTGCGCGGCTGACTGTCACTTCGCGAAACTGGAGGGCCGTGCAGAGTCTGGTCGGCTGCCCGTGCGCAGGAGGTGCCGATGCCTGCACAGACCTCTCGGCGTCGCCAGAGAAGCCGCGACAGACTCGTCCTGGCAGCCTCGGCCTTCGGGGGCCGACATGCAAGATGCCCCCGCTACGGAGGCATCGTTCCAGAATGGGTGCGGAGAGCTCGGGAAGCTCCAGCTGCCGAAAATCACGACGTCGGGCGACCTTGGGGAAGGCGTATCGTTGATAGTGCTGCTGCGCCTCGGGTCAGAAGCTGTGCCCCGCTCAACCACATGCAGAGTTTTTGACACGATGTCGTGGCATGGGAGTACGTCTTTGTCGTTCTTGGACCTGCTCGACTGGCTCTGTCTTGATTCCCCCACTTCGACTCCTGTTGTTCTTGTCAGCAGCTACATTTGACATGATATCTTCCTGGTGTCCCCCCGTCCACTGCCCCTACCTTATCTTGCATCCAAGCGTTTCGACTCGTGCAAACATGTTGATATCGCAGCGCGCGTCCGATGCGCCTCCGAGCAGTTGCAGTGGATACTCTCCAGCATGCATGGTCCAGTCGAACTGCGACGGAGGGGTATGTTGGCACATGCGCAGCAGCCAGTCGCAAGCGCTCGTGAATGTGTTCAGCATGCGGGAGCCCGTATTGGGACACCTAGGAAGGTGAGGTGGCGAAAGAAGGAGGAGACCCAGGTAGAGGAGGGGCGTCAGGAGGAGTATGGCCTACTCGGCCTTGAGGGGCACAGGCAAGATACAATTGATCATGACTGTGATGATGGCGGTGGCGATTGGGTGGAGGCTGGGGCAGGTGGAGGAGGCGGAGGAGGAGGAGGAGAAGGAGGACAACCAAGGAAACGCGGTGGGTTTGTCAGGTCTTAGACGAGATCAAGCGGGCGGAGTTCGTCGCAGTGGACCCCTGCCGCTGCACACCTCCTGCCGCGGCCAGACACCCGCCGTCCCGCTGGCGCACCTCCTCGCCGCTCCCGTCTCGTCCCCCGTCCCGTTCGCCGCAGCGCGCGCCTCGGAGCGGCCTCGACACACGCAAGCAGATCGCACACCACTCGGGATCCTGCCAAGGGTGTGTGCCCCAGGGTGTGTGTGTGTGTGTGTGTGTGTGTGTGTGAGAGTTCGATCGTTTTTGCACCGAACTGCCCAACAACAGATGCCTCCAGCCGCCGGCAGCTCCCGATCGTTGCCGATGTGTGGGGCACGCGGGGGGCGTCTGTCTGCAGCAGTTCGGTGCACCAGCGGATCGAACTCGTGCCCCCCCTCGGGGTTCCTCTCCTCTTGGTGGATCCCGAGCCACACGGGCACGCGTTTCGGAGTGCATTTCTTCGGCCTCGGCGGCTTTACCCGCGGCAGTCATGTCAAGAGTTTGCGCGCCTCCACGACCGATCGAGTCATGGCGGAGTCGTGTCAAGAGTTTGGCAGAACGATATGTCCGAGTAAATCGACCTCAACTGGCTTCGAATCAAGAGTCGTGTAAAGAGTTTGGCGGAACGAGATGTCCGACCCAGTGGATCTCAGCTGGCTTCGATCGGCGGCGCGCCCGGAGGGGGGAGAAGTGAGAAGGATAAGGCCTTCTCGGCAGGCTCGGAAGCCCCCCTGGTCTTCGGAGGAGTTCTCGAAGCCCTCCCCGAAGACACAGAACGAGACTTCTCAGAAGGCGCGAGGGGCCTCTGAGAAGTACCGCCGCCTTCTGAGCCCAGACATGCGACATCCTGATTTTTTCAGTACGGGGTACCTGGAAGTCCCGACCTTTCCCAGGGACCGGTTCTCCATCCTGAGTCGCTCTTTGACAATCCCGAGGCCCGGCGAGGGCACCCCGATGCCGAACTTTTACGACGCGATCATGTCTGGGAGCAGGCCTCCTGCACACTGCCCCCCCCTCGCTCGCCCTCCGACACGAGGCGTCAACCAACAGGGGCCCGCGTGGTCAAGGCAGGGCAATGGGGGGGCGCACGCACCGATGCAAGGCCCAGGATGGGCAGGGCCGCCAGAGTCCGTGCACGGGCAGACGTGGCTGCCTGGCGCCCCCCTCCTCCCCCTCCTCCTCCTCCTCCTCCTCCTCCTCCTCCTCCTCCTCCTCCTCCTGCTCCCCCTCCTCCTCCTCCTCCTCCTCCTCCTCGTCCTCCTCGTCCTCCTCGTCCTCCTCCTCGTCCTCCTCGTCCTCCTCGTCCTCCTCGTCCTTTTCGTCGTCCTCCTCCTCCTCCTTCTCCTCGTGCTCTTCCTTCTCCTCCTCCTCCTCCTCCTCTTTTTCCTCCGATCGGCGCCTCACCAGGAGCCTGGAGGCAGATGGGTCACCTGCTGGAGCAGGCCGACATCTATGAAGCCGATCGCGAGACCTTTCATGATAGTTTGCTCATGTGCGTAAGGTGCGGCAGCATGGCGCACACCAGCTCGAAACGTGGCAATCTTCGTTCGTCGTGTCGCCCTGTCGCTGGCGGAGGTCGTGGCTTCTATCTTAATAAGTTTCGAGCTGGTCAGTATCCTGGCTATAGAAATCCAAAGGGGTTTGTTTTGGCACATGTGGGAGCCCCAGCCCCCGAGGTCAGGGCCGAGTGGCTTCCCTTTTTCTCTGCCTGGGCCCAGGGCCTTCCGGGGCCCGCGAAAATCGCGGAGCTCACCAAGTCGGCCGCGCGCGAGGGGCGGCTAGCCCCGCCCGCCGCCGACTGGCAGCGCGTCCTGGCGTTGTACGGCCTATCGGACGCGGCTGCACAGGCCCTGGGGAGGCAGGCTGAGGAGCGGAAGGCCCAGGGTGGGGCGGAGGAGGAGGATGTTCTCTCCCTCCTGGCCTTGCTCCAACTTTTTGTCTGTGCATGTGAATTGGGTCGAACCCTTCTCGGATGCGTGCGTCTGGCGTGCGTCCTCTTTTTCCTCGTCCTCCTCCTCCTCCTGCTGCTGCTGCTCCTCCTCCTCCTCCTCCTCCTCTCCTCTCCTCCCCCTCCCTGTTGTCATTCTCGCTCGCTCGAGGCCGAGTCGAACAGGAGGTTCGCGGCGCCCCACGGCGTCCTCTGGCGCCGACCGCAGACGGCAGCGAGGGATCCCCTCGCAGCAGATTGCGGGGCCTGTGCTCGTCGAGAGGCCGCACGCGAGCCATCAACGCTTCGGAGGAGGAGGAGGAGGAGGAGGAGGAGGAGGAACCCGCCCGCTCGACCCAGCCGTCTAGGCCCGCCCGCCCGACCCGCCGTTAGGGTCCTCCTCCCCCCCGACCAGCCCGCATGGTTTTGCCGCTTGTACTCTTCTAACCCCTTCCTGCAAGTCTCTCTCGTGCTCCATCCTTCTCCCTCCAGCTTGTATCTGCCCTCCTTCCTCCCTTCCCCTGTTTTAGAGGCCTCGCCGACTGCACGCGGCACGTCAAGAAGATCTACCCTCAAGGGGGGACGATCGAAGACGAATAAGGCGGGTATCTAGGGTTTTGGAAAACATGTCGAATAACAACGCGCGGGCACATGAAAGCGAGCAGTCTTACAATAATTGTTGTTGTTGTTGTTGTTGTTGTTGTTGTTGTTGTTGTTGAACATTATTAATTCTAAAGAATAATTATTGTTGGGCCCCCTGGTGCGCGCCCCCCCCGCCGCGCCTAGGCCGCAGCCACGTTTTCATCATTTTCGTGAGGAAGCCTCAGGTAATTCGAGTGATCAAGATCCGGTTGTTTTGTTGTAATCCGTTTTCCCTTGCAAAAAACACTATAAAATGACATTTCTTGTTCTAATATAATCAAATTTCAAGAATCCCTTGCAAAAAATAAGGTAAAGTGGACATTCGCGCGCGCAAGACGAAATCCTTCCAAAAGCTTAGTGTTCGGAGCGATTTCAACATAAAAACATCAAAAAACCAATGGTTTTTCAACAAAAAAATGTCAAAATCTCATCCCGCGCGCTCTTGCGGATTCGTAGGAAACCCAACACTTTTTAAACATTTCTGTCAAACGGGCTTTTGCGAGCAACTTTTTCGAACTTCTGCGACAACGGTTGCGCACCTGCCAGGGCCATCATCCCTGTCAAATAATACCATGCGGGACACATTCGTTTTTTCTTCGCGCGCGCACGCCGAAATCTCCAAAAACCATTGGGTTCTGTGGGTGTGTACCCCACGCCAGTGTAGTAGCCACGGTCGTCCGCACGCCACGAAGTGAAGTGTCCCAACGTCATAGGGCGGGAAGCTGGGTTTGGGTGGTCGCGAAGAGTCGTTTGGATATTTGGTAGAGCTTGTAATGCCCCCCCACGAAGTGGGGGTATTGCCTGGTGTCGTATGAAAACCCTGGCACTGGGGAGAACACCACGCGTTCGGGTAAAATGATTGTTGTTGTTGTTGTTGTTGTTGTTGAACATTATTACTTCTAAAGAATAATTATTGTTGGGACCCCTGGTGCACGACCCCCCGCCGCGCCTAGGCCGCAGCCTCATTTTCATCATTTTCGTGAGGAAGTCTCAGGCAAAACGGGGGAGTCCGGATCCGGTTGTGTTGTTACGATCGGTTTTCCCTTGCAAAAAATAAGCTAAAGTGGACATTTCTTGTTCTAACATAACCAAACTTCAAGAATCCCTTGCAAAACATAAGGTAAAGTGGACATTCGCGCGCGCAAGACGAAATCCTTCCAAAACCTTAGTTTTCGTAGCGATTTTAACATAAAAACATCAAAAAACCAATGGTTTTTCAAAAACAAATTGTCAAAATTTCATCCCGCGCGCTCTTGCGGATTCGTAGGAAACCCAACACTTTTTAATCATTTCTGTCAAACGGGCTTTTGCGAGCAACTTTTTCGAACTTCTGCAACAACGGTTGCGCACCTGCCAGGGCCATCATCCCTGTCAAATAATACCATGCGGGACACATTCGTTTTTTCTTCGCGCGCGCACGCCGTCGTCGTCGGCCGCGGGGCCCTGAATAGTAGCCACGGTCGTCCGCATGCCACGAAGTGAAGTGTCCGAACGTCATAGGGCGGGAAGCTGGGTGTGGGTGGTGGCGAAGAGTCGTTTGGAAATTTGGTAGAGCTTGAACCGGCCCCCCCACAAAGTGGGGGTATTGCCCGCCTCCTATGAAAACCCTGGCACTGGTGAGAACGGAGTGTCCCCACGTGCTAGTAATTGTTGTTGTTGTTGTTGTTGTTGTTGTTGTTGTTGTTGTTGTTGTTGAACATTATTAATTCTAAAGAATAATTATTGTTGGGACCCCTGGTGCGCGCCCCCCCCGCCGCGCCTAGGCCGCAGCCACATTTTCATCATTTTCGTGAGGAAGTCTCAGGCAAAACGGGGTGTCCAGATCCGGTTGTGTTGTTACGATCGGTTTTCCCTTGCAAAAAATAAGGCAAAGTTGACATTTCTTGTTCTAACATGACCAAACTTCAAGAATCCCTTGCAAAAAATGACACGAAGTGCACATTCGCGCGCGCAAGACGAAATCCTTCCAAAACCTTAGTCTTCGTAGCGATTTTCACATAAAAACATGAAAAACCCAGTGGTTTTCAAAAAAGGGTTTCAAAAATTAACCCCGCGCGCTCTTGCGGATTTCTTAGGAAACCCAATACTTTTTCAACATTTCTGTCAAACGGGCTCTTGCGAGCAACTTTTTCACGTGCTTCGAACTTCTGCAACAAAGGTTGCGCGCCTGCCAGGGCCATCATCCCTGTCAAATAATACCATATGGGACACATTCGTTTTTTCTTCGCGCGCGCACGCCGAAATCTTCAATTGCAGGGGGAAAAGTCGTATACTAAGCTAGCTTCCACAAAATGTTACCACAACAAGTCATTGTACCCATGCGCCAGTGTAGTAGCCAAGGTCGTCCGCAGGCCACGAAGTGAAGTGTCCGAACGTCATAGGGCGGGAAGCTGGGTGTGGGTGGTGGCGAAGAGTCGTTTGGAAACTTGGTAGAGCTTGAACCGGCCCCCCCACAAAGTGGGGGTATTGCCCGCCTCCTATGAAAACCCTGGCACTGGTGAGAACGGAGTGTCCCCAGTCTTAGTAATTGTTGTTGTTGAACATTATTAATTCTAAAGAATAATTATTGTTGGGCCCCTGGTGCACGGCCCCCCTGCGCCGCCTAGGCCGCAGCTACATTTTCATCATTTTCGTGAGGAAGCCTCAGGTAATTCGATGTGATCAAGATCCGGTTGTTTTGTTCCCCCCCGCTTTCCCTTGCAAAAAACACTATAAAATGACATTTCTTGTTCTAATATAATCAAATTTCAAGAATCCCTTGCAAAAAATAAGGTAAAGTGGACATTCGCGCGCGCAAGACGAAATCCTTCCAAAAGCTTAGTGTTCGCAGCGATTTTAACATAAAAACATCAAAAAACCAATGGTTTTTCAACAAAAAAATGTCAAAATCTCATCCCGCGCGCTCTTGCGGATTCGTAGGAAACCCAACACTTTTTAAACATTTCTGTCAAACGGGCTTTTGCGAGCAACTTTTTCGAACTTCTGCGACAACGGTTGCGCACCTGCCAGGGCCATCATCCCTGTCAAATAATACCATGCGGGACACATTCGTTTTTTCTTCGCGCGCGCACGCCGAAATCTCCAAAAACCATTGGGTTCTTAAGAATTTTAGCACCGCGCATCATAAAATCACACGAATCGCACCGTAGGTCCTCGAAAAACACCTGCACGACTTTTCAAAATTTCTACCCGCGCGCGCTGTCCTAACAACTTCTGTGGGTGTGTACTCCGCGCCAGTGTAGTAGCCACGGTCGTCCGCAGGCCACGAAGTGAAGTGTCCGAACGTCATAGGGCGGGAAGCTGGGTGTGGGTGGTGGCGAAGAGTCGTGTGGATATTTGGTAGAGCTTGCACTGCCCCCCCACAAAGTGGGGGTATTGGCTGGCGTCGCATGAAAACCCTGGCACTGGTGAGAACACTGAGCGTTCGGGTAAAGTGATTGTTGTTGTTGTTGTTGTTGTTGTTGTCGTGTTTTTTGCTGCGGTTGTTGTTGTGGTTGTTGTTGCTGCTGCTGCCAGGATGGACCCCAATATTGACTGGGTTTCATAATGCCACCCCCAGGACATCATGAACGGGATTATTGACTGGGGTTCATGTTGTTTCTGCGGAACAGGATGAACCTAGGTTCATCATGTTCAGGAGAAATCGGCCTCCGAACGATATCCACGTGGATTCGTAATCTTCCAGGAAGATTGATTGGGGTTCAGAATGTCCCGGGAATAATGAACCCGCTTTAGATGTTTCCCCCCCCCCACGTGTTCCCTTGTTCCTTAGACAGGCTGCTGCATGTCAGAATATGGACCCAGGTTCGTTTTATCTCCAGAAGATTATCTCTGATGATGATCTCAGAATATTGACCCAGGGTTCATGCTTGTGGAATGATAATGATTGAGCCTGGGGGGCGCCGGTTGAAACTCCGGTCGGGAATGGAATAGCCCCTGGTCCATCAGGTCGGAATTTTGATCCGAATTGTATCCAGAATGAGAATGATTCGGCCGGGGGGAGCGCGGCTGATCATCTAAAGATAACGACCTTGGCTTATTATTCTTTCATAATGAGCCACGGTCGACGAGGATTTCCCGGGTGCCCTCGCTGCCGCTGCGTTGTTATCGTCGTCTTCGCCCGCGACCCGCCTGCGACCCCCCTTTCGACCCATCCTGCGACCCACCCTGCGAGTCTATGCATGCGTGCATCTATGTATATCTACATATATATATGTATAGATGTAGATATGTATGTATGCCTGGTGTGTATGTATGTATGTATGTATGTATGTATGTATGTATGTATGTATGCATGTATGTATGTATGTATGTATGTATGTAAGTGAATCTGTATGTATAGACATGTGTGTATGCATACATGCACGTTTGCATACTGACGCACAACTCAGCTGACACCACGCTGCTGCTGATTCCGCGGATCTCAGGTCCGATCCGCTCCCATCCCCCCCTCCCTGCCGCCGCCCCCCTGGCCGCCGCCGCCGCCATGCCTCCCCCTCTTGCCCTTCCCCTCAGCATCGCTCGGACGTGCGCATCTTTCCTCGGCGAGGGCCATCGAGGAGCACCTCGAATCGTCGCGTGGAAAAAGGAACGCACAACGCCGACGTTCAGGCGAAATGACCAGCCCGCCCTTTCGACGGCCTCGGGATGCAACAGGGAGGAGTTATTTGTATGGAAAGAGAATGGAGGAGGAGGAGGAGGAGGAGGAGGAGGAGGAGGAGGAGGAGGAGGAGGAGGAGGAGGAGGAGGAGGAGGAGGAGGAGGAGGAGGAGGAGGAGGAGGAGGAGGAGCAGGAGGAGCCCCTGGGCCAGGACCTGGAGCTCACGGGGCTTCACGCGGGGGGCCCGGCCTCTCTGTGCGCGGCTCCTCTCCGCGGACGGGGCCGCGGCGTGGCGGGAGAGCGCCCCGCCCTCCCCTCTCCCGCGCCTCTGTCCAGGGGGGCCAAGGGGGACGTGCGAGGAGCGGGAAAGGCATAGGCCTCTCGGGCGAGGGAGGAGGGGGAGGACGAGGAGGACGAGGAGGAGGAGGAGGGGAGGAGGAGGAGGAGGAGGAGGAGGAGGAGGAGGAGGAGGAGCGAGGAGGAGGAGAAGGGGAGGAGAGGAGGAGGAGGAGGAGAGGAGGGGAGGAGGAGGAGGAGGAGGAGGAGGAGGAGGAGGAGGAGGAGGAGGAGGAGGAGGAGGAGGAGGCGGCGGATGACGATCAGTACAGTCAAGGCGCCTAGTGAGGACGCGCGCCTTCATCCAAGGTGCCCTTTAGTCCTTGCCTCTGCGGCCCGTCCCTTGCCGTTTTCACGGGGCCTTCCCTGGGTTAGACGTTCCTGGGTTTTTGGTCCCCCGCCGCTCAAAAAAATCTCAACTTCGGCCTGTAAGGTCTTGCGTCCTTGCCACGTTTCCTCAATAGACATTTTGACGATAAGAACATGAGTGTACTGAGTATGATGGGGCTGGCAGGGCTCGTTTCAATTCCTCCGATTCGATTCGATTCGATCTCAATGGCTTCTGATTCGGATTCCGATCTCGCAGCGGAGGCCTACCAGCCTGCCGATTTCCGCCGATTCGGCTTCTCCCGACTCGGCTGCCAATTTCTGCCGATCCGAATCATTTCGATCGCCGATCTGACCTAGCGATTCGATTCTGCGCTCTCCTGGGATGAGGGTGATGGGGAGAATGAGCGTGCGGGGGGGCGAGGGGGGCGTAGGGGGGATGCGGATGGGGGATGGAGGTTGGGGGGGGGGTCCCCGGTTTCCGAGGGGACCTCTGGATGCTTTTTCGGGGAGGGGTTATGGTTTTTACAAGGCAAGCGAGCTTGGACGACGCTCTTCCCAAGCTTCTCTTGACTAGTATGGGCGGCGCTGAGGTGAGAGCTCGATTTTGAAAACTACCCCCCGCCGTCTTGGTAACTGGTACACATTTCAACATGAATGTGCGCGGCGCCAGAGCGAGAGCTCCACTTTGAAAAGGACTCCCCTCTATCCGTGTACAGACTTGACACTTCAAGCTTCATGATCGCAAGTGGTAAAGAAGTTTCAGGCGAACCGCCCTTCCCTCCGACAGGTTGGAGTTGTGTACAAACCAATTAGATGGAAGGTTAAGATGGGAGGGAGGTTGGGAGGGAGGGAGGGATGAGGGAGGGCGGGCGCAGGAGAAGAGATGGAGGAGGGGGGAGGGAGGATAATGGAGGAGGGAGGAACACAGGAATGGAGGAAGGGAAGAGGGAGGAGGTAAGAAGGGAGGAGCGAATGGAGGAAGGAGGGGGGGAAGGAAGTAAGGGATGCAGGAAGGAAGGGAGGAGGGGACGAGTGATGGATGTGATGGTGGTGGAGGTGGAGGTGCAGGTGCAGGTGCAGGTGGAGGTTGATGTGAATAATGATAAGGAGAAGGAGGAGAAGGAGAGGGAGGAAGAGCGGGATGAGGAGGAGGATGAGGAGGAAGAGGAAGAGGAGGAGGAGGAGAAAGTTGCAAGACTGTGCAGATTGGTGGCAACAGACATGGCACAGCACCAAGCGAGTCGGTGCGAGGGGAAGCACATGGCCCTTGTCATTTGTCACCTGACCACCCACGAAGCAGAGCATGTGCTCGAACCGATGGGGGTACAAGATTGGGTAGCCACACAACAGCCATGGAAGTGGCGTTGGGCTGCCAAAAGAGCACGGAAAGACGGACAATAGAGCTACAATGCGTTTATTTGGGATGGTTTTTTATGCTTTGACCAGATTGCACATTGCCGACAAGCGCTACCAAGAACTGGATGGACGGACGACACTTCGAAGTGTTCGAACAACCTGGAATGGTTCGATCTGGTTTCGGCTCTGAGTAGTCGAAACTCGAGGCTGGCTTCTTGCCTTCTTCCAGGGGCGGCCGCGACTATCTAGTACTTTCTGGGTGCTTTGGCCCCTGTCCCCGCCTAGTCCCCTCGCGTGGACTCTTGCGCGCGGCTTTTGTCTTTCTGCCTTCTTGCCTGACCACTCGCTGCCACCCTCCTTGCGATGGTGTGACGCCTCCAGTGGTGTTGGGCAAACGTAATGCCCCTCTGGATACGCCACAGGCTCGGATCCTGCGAGCCCCGTTGCGCCCACCCTGATACAGCGGGCCAGCTACGCAGCCACAGGAGGGCAAAGTGCCACACCTGTTGAGGAACGAGGTGGTGCGAGGGAATCGAACCCCCGCCCCACACGAGAACGGCTGGTTACCACGCCCCCCACACCCAAACAAGCCTCCTAGACATTGCGCTTTTCGCGCAAGATGGCGCTGGTAATCGGATGCGATACCAGGCCCCAGCGAAGGGGCAAGGAGGAGGATGAGGAAGAGGAGGAGGGGGATTAGGAGGATGAGGAGGAGCAGGAGCAGGAGGAGGAGGAGGAGGAGGAGGAGGAGGAGGAGGGGAGGAGGATGAGGATGAAGGCTCCGTAGCCATTTTGGCTCAAGCCATTTTGGCTCAAGCCATTTTGGCTCAAGCTGTTTCCGATACCGAACGAATTTTGCTTTGCACATTCTTTCGTATATTGGAATCTTGAGTGGCACGGTATACCGCGTTCCGTATACATCCATGTCCGGGCCCGTGACGGAAGGCGAAGCTGTTGCTTGCAACCTCTTGGGAGCCATCGTGCGGGCGGGAGCGAGCCGCCATGTCGTGGCAGCGACCGCAGCCGCTTTTTGGCGTCTCATCCTGAGCTGCGAGGCGGCCGACACAGCCACGCTCGACACCAGCGACTCCGATATCAAGGCGGAGGTCGACGCTCGGTTCGACATGGCCCGTCCTGCTCTGGAAGGCCTCGTTCGAGCTGGGCGGCAAGGGGTGCGAGCAAACCTCGACGGGTCCACCAAGGCTTTCCGCAACTGTGCCTTGCACAATAGCCTTGGAGCTGGCGAGGGAGCTCTGCCAAAGTCTGGCAGAGAAGCGAAGCAGAAGCAGAAGAGGCGTGGCAGGGCCGCTCCAGATGGCTCGCAGCCTGCTTCCACGCCTGTTTCGGCGCCCAGTATTACATCGGCTTCAACATCTTCACCTGGGAACGACCCGTCTGCCTCTGACCATGGTTGTCCAGCGGAGGAGCGTGATGAGCAAGAAGAGCAGTGTGAAGCGGTTCCTCCGAACCCCAACGAATCTGCTACGCAGACGGATGCCCTGTGCTACGAGTGCGGCCTCACCTCGCCTTTGGGCCAGTGGGCCTATGCGGCCGTGCTGGCAGACGAATTGGCGCACTCTGCAGGGATCATTTCTCGCACCGCGGCACCCGCGGAGACCTCCCACACAGAGTTTTTCGACTTGGCTGCTGACGACAAGTCGGACCAGAGCGCCGACGAAGCGCAGAACGGCTCCTTCAGCAGCATGGAGGAGACCGCGGCTGACACGGCGCTGTGGGCCAAGGAGTACAGACAGATTGGGGGGGACAGGCTTTTTGGCGGAGCAGGTGGCTTCTCTCCAGCACCTGGACGCCTCCTCGCCTGAGGTGGAGAAGGCTGTGCACGACCTAGTTGCGAAGCTGGCGATCGCAAACGGCCGCGCCGTCGACTGGGGGAAGTTCCGCGGGAACTACCCGGCGGTTTAGGCCTTGCGGGCTCTCCCCGCAGTGGGCAGGTAGCAGCACCTCCCGCCCCGAGCCTCTAAGCGGTGAAATGTCAGGTCGTGCTGTAGCTGTTGAGGGTCTCCGACCTCCCCCTCCCCCCCCTCCTCAGGAATGTAAGAACAGGCTTGCTCTTGACAGCCTGTCGAATTCTTTGATGGGGTGGGCGTGGGAAGGGGATGGGGTGAGACGACTGCGACGACGGCGACGACGTGCCGAGGTGGCGTCCGCTCTCGCCAGCCGTTCGCCGCGACAGGGCCTCTGCACGCCAGCTCCTCGGCCAGGGCCGACAGGCTGCCGAGGCTCTGCACTGCAGAGTGCAGAGCAGAAAGGGACAGGTTTTCGGTTGGAGGCTGCCTCCCCGCTCCCCCTCCCTTTCTACATTTACATCCTCCCTCCCCTCACCCACCCCCGTCCTTCCATCAGGCGCGATCGCTGCAGAGAGTCGCGTCTCGAGGATTGGGGCTTGGGGAAGAGGAAGGGGGGGGGGGGGTGCGACGACGGTCGGTCTGGGGCCTGGCAATGCCCGCCCAGGGAGGCGGCTCGCCCATGCGGCCCGACCCGATCGGCACATGAGGCCTTTCCAGAGAGACAGGCCGACTGCCGGCATCAATGAACCCACCCTGTCCTGGGGCCAGCCTAGGCGGGGTTTTGGGTTTGGGGCTTCGGCGACGCTTATTCTCCTCTTTCCCTCTTTCCTCCCTCTGTCTCGGCCTTCCTTCTTCTCCGTAAGCGTCGCCTTAGCCTCCCGTCCATATATTTTTGTCGCTCTCTGCTCCTAGAGTGGACTTGTGACGCAGCAGTGCAACGGTGCAGCAGAGGAGGATGAAGGGGGGGAAGAGGAGGCGGAATATGTAGGAGGAGGAGGGGGATCAGTGTCAACCTAAGACTCATCAGCGATTCAATCAACCCTCCCTCGAAGTTCCCTCTGCGCAGGCCCCTGCGCGGGTTCTCTTTCATTTAGGGAAGTGCCCCGTTGGAATACAGCCGTTTGAACATTTGGAACTCTGCCAGAACACCATTCTTGGGACTTCAATGCCGCGCATCATCGTCATTGTTGCGACTGGACGATCGTGAATCTTGCTAGTGCACCCTTTCAAGGACTTCACCACCGCGAATCAACATGACTGTTGCGCCCTGATATTCCGAAGTCGCGCCAAAACACCGTTTCTCGGACACTAGCCATGATAATCCTTGAGGCCGCTACAAACTATTACCACGAATGCGCGCGACGCTAAGGCGAGAACCGCATTTTGGGAAGGATATGCCCTCCAT